GGACATCATGCTTGGGAGAGTGGAGGGACAGCGTAGGAAGGGAAGACCCTCAATGAGATGGATTGCTTCAGTCACTGGCGTAGTGGGAGTAGGTGTGTCAGAGACAATAAGATTGCCAAGAAATAGAGCAGGGTTTAGGGCTGTTGTACACAGGGTTGCTATGAGTTGCAAGTGACTTGACGTTGCATAATACAACAACAACAACAAAAAGCAGACAAATCAATACAGCACAGAGCAAAACAAACAGCAAACAAATAAAAGAGGCTGAAAAAAGCAATGGCAGTGAAAAGAAAAAAAAAAGGAAAGGTTAAACACGCTCAGAAAGCAGTCCATGCAGAGAGGTGAACCTGCTCAGAAAGCCATCAGAGGAATGGTGGCCAGAGGGAGGGTGCCCAGCATCTTGGCAGCTGTGTCACCCAAGGTCCATGCTCAGGCCGTGGGGCATCTGCCCACAGGCAGCACTGCAGCCTGGCTGGGGGGGGGGGTCCCGTGCATTCACCTCCATGACTCACCACCAGCCTGTTCCTCCGGTCACTCAGAACAGTCGTGGGCTTGGAGCACTGTCCCCTAGCACTAATTCCCCTTCTCTGCTTAAAGATCTACTGTTCAGTTGCTGCTGTCACCGTCAAGTCGGCCCTGCCTCACAGCCACACCACGGACAGCAGTGGACTGAAGCACCCTGCAGTCCCTGCTGTCTCCAGCTCGTTTGATCTATCTTCTGGTTCCCATGGCTCTGACCGCTCTGTGTTCTAGCGCCTTCCCACCTGTCTGGTAGGACAGGGCTTTGCTGTTCTCCATAGGGTTTTGACTGGTTCGTTTTCAAAACTAGATTGCCAGGCCTTTCTTCCTAGTGTTAGTCTGGAAGCTTGGCTGAAATGTCCCCACCGTGGGATACATTTAAACACCTGCTGATGTGTGAAATAACCTGCGGGACAGTGTCCAGCATGACAGTGACACACAGGTCACCAGAGGCCAACACACTGATGTGCGGGGGATGGAAGGAGCCCTGGTGGCAGCGTGACTCTCTTAGCAGCCTGCTAGCTGGAAGGTTAACAGTTCAAATCCAGCAGCCACACTGAGAGGGAAGATGGGCAGTGTCCTCTAAAGATTTACGGCCTCAGACACCTGATGGAGGGCCGTGATGAGCCGGGCTCAGTGGCGGGGGAGTGGGTGCCATGGTAGAGGACGGATACTTCCTCTGTAGGAAAAGAAATTGTTGGGAACTACCAGGGGCTGCTTCCGCAGGGGGCCTGGGAAGTGGGGTCACCAAGGGCTGCTTAGATAGGGGGGCTGGGAAGTGGGGTCACCAAGGTCTGCTTAGAGAGGGGGCCTGGGAAGTGGGGTCACCAGGGGCTGCTTAGGTAGGGGGCCTGGGAAGTGGGGTCACCAGGGGCTGCTTGTAGGGGGGCCTGGGAAATGAGGTTCGTGTTCAGGATGGAAATAGTGTTACATAAGCATCTAGCATCATTCAGAAGTGTGCAGGAGGTGTGAGAGCAAAGTGTGTCCATTGTCCATTCAGTTTGCTGTGTCCCCTGTCCCTTTGTCCTGTCACTGCCCTAGCAGAGGGCAGGTGAGTGTGGGCACTACTCAGGCAGCGCGTGTGGGAGGTGGGACAGGCCATGGTGGACACTGGCTTGCGGCGGGCCTGTCCACATCCACAGAGTTCTGGAAGCTGTTTTAGACAGTTACCCACCACCCTCTCCAGGCCTGTGCTGTGGAGCTGAGGGCAGAGGCGGCCATCTAGCTGTGGTGGCTGTCCTGAGGACAGTCTCAGGACTGGGGGACAGCAGGGACTAGCTCACCTGGGGGCCAAGGAGGCTGCCTAAGAAGGCAGCTAGAATCCCAGACAAAGACAGAAAAGAGACTGCAGGGCTCAGAGTTCAAGTCCAGGGGTGCCTGACTTGCATTGGGAGGTGGGCAGGAGCTGCTGTGGGGGTGTTACCAGGGAACAGGTGCCCAGTTTAGGGCCTGGGGCTCTCTCCGGGTCGTAGAGACACCCGGACTGCTGGAAGGTTCTGGCCCTGGCCGAGGAGGAGGAAACAAGCCAGAAGTGCTGGGTGGTGTGGAGGGCAGGGAGCCGGCCCTGCTGCCTGCAGAGGTGTGAAGAGACCTGGCTTGGAGGTCTGACTGGAGGTGCTGGGGGAGGAACCTCAGAGGCAGGAAGGTGTGGGCATTGATTGATAACCGGTTCTCGGGGACAAGAGAGCGGGCCACTCGCCATGCTAATAAGTACAGAGGAGGAAGTCCTGAGAGTGGAGACCGTGTAGCCGCGGTGCGTTTAGAGGTAGAAGGTGGGGTTCTGGACCGAGCATGATTCGGTGGCCTCCCAGGCGTCGGTTTATGGATTGCACTGTGCCCCCCAAATACATGTTCCCAGTCCTCCCCTCGCCTGCGGTTCCCACCCTCGTGATGAAGAGGCACGAGTGGGGTGGGGTGAGCCCTCACAGAGCTGGCCAGGCAGAGACGAGAGCGGTGGAGAGAGGCACCATGTGACATGCCCCGTGAGGTCTCCCAGACCCCAGGACACACTGAGAGGAGACCGGGCACTCCCCCAAGAACAACACAGACAAGCCGCCTCGGGCTGCCTGGTGCCCTGAGTCCAGACTGCTCAAGTCCTACACACCGTGAACAAATGTGACAGGGCCACCTCTGTGGTGTCCTGCAGCAGCACCGGGAGGACAAGGCTCGCTGGTCCAGTGCAGGAGGCCCCGGGCTCACCCTCACACAGGCACTGCCTTCCCCCGTCCCTGAGGGTGTCCCCGACACTGTTCCATGGTGGCATTAGTTCTGTCTCTAGGAGGGGTTGCCAAGCACAGCAGTTTTCCACCAGGGAGGAGCTTGCCCCAGGGACGTTCGGCAGTGCCTGGAGGTGTTGACTGGGAGGAGGAGGAGGAGGAAGGATGCTCCTGGCATCCAGTGGGTAGAGGTGGGGGCGGGGTGGACTGCCCCATGGCCAAAGTCAGGCACACCTTAGTCTTCTTTTTCTAATTACTCTGATTAATTGGCAAAGTTCGAATACGTTGTTTTTCACAAAAGATTCTTCCCATTTCACTCCACCCTCCCATCGAATCGTGCACCCTTTAGTCTTTATAGTACCGTCCTTGCTCGCTGGCTCTTTAACAGCAGATTTGCCCACGGCAGGGTGTTGTCTGGTTTCTTGGCTGCTGCACCCACAGGTATTGGCGTGGTTCCTCCACGGGCACTGAGTCAGCACAGACCCAGCAGCAGTGGGTTCAGCCGGGCTGTGCTTTGGCGGCCGCAGGACTCACATGCAGGCAGGCAGGCAGGCGTTGATGCGTGCACAGACGCTGGTTTCCTTGCAGTGTTCCCAGCGTGGCCTTGGGAGCAGAGCCTGCTCTCACGGGGCCCTGGTCCTCGGCTGGGCTGCTCCGGGTTTATCCTCTCCTGGTCCTGCCTTACTCCCCTGGTGCTGCTGTAACAGATGCCTCAAGTGCAGGGCTCTCTTCTCAAGTGATGCGAGGAGTCCTCATTCTGGGTGCCATTCGCCTCTAGAGGGAGGAGCGCTGGTGGCGTGGTCCACAGGGACTGCACTCCCAACCAGAGGCTGACCCTCACTGGTGTTTGAACCCACCAGTGGCCCTGAGGGAGAAAGGTGGGCAGGGTCCCCCTCAATGGTGTGCAGCTGAGGAACCCCTCTGGCAGGACAGCTGTGAGGCCGTTCTAACTCCATGGCAGTGAGACAGGGACCCCCCCCCAGGAGCAGTCCCCCCTCTGTGTCAGTCTGGAGGCAGGGTCAGCTTCCATGGGCATCTGTGGGCCTGGTGTTGCTAGGATTCCTCCATGTGTCCTGGCCCTACCCAGTGTCCAGGAACTTCCTCACACAGAGCCGAGTCCGGGAGGGTGCACCCGAATCCTGACCATTCTTTCCTTGTGGCACTGTAGTCATTGCTCCCACCTCCAGCTTAGTTCCCCCCCTTTATTTTCAGTGACAGAGAAACATTTTCAGGATACGCCCTGGGACACCCCTCACATCCATGGAGCTGTAGTGAACCCTGAGGGGTGCTCAAATACCCCCTGATGCCCCGAGGAGCTGCTGTGGTGGCATTGAGGAGTGCCAGGGCCCCCCTTACACCCATGGGGCTGCAGTGAGACCACAGAGGTGCCGAGACCCCCTGTCACGCCTATGGGGCTGTGGTAGGACACTGCCTGATGCCTCGAGGGGCTGCTGTGGTGGCATTGAGGAGTGCCAGGGCCCCCCTCACACCCTTGGGGCTGCAGTGAGACCACAGAGGTGCCGAGACCCCCTGTCACGCCTATGGGGCTGTGGTAGGACACTGCCTGATGCCCCGAGGGGCTGCTGTGGTGGCATTGAGGAGTGCCAGGGCCCCCCTCACACCAATGGGGGCTGTAGTAGAACCAAGGGGTGTTAAGACACCTCTTCACACCCAGCATGGCTGTGGTGGGACCAAGGCATCCTGGGGGCCCCCTCACATCCTTGAGGTGTGCTACACTGCATCCTTGATCCTGTGACAGCCGTGAGAAGTCCAGTGGCAGCTTTCACATGGGATAGAGCTCAGGAAGGGACGGGATGGAAGGACAAATGAAAACAAGAAACATCGGAAGGGAGTGGGAGGATGCTGTTACTAGAATCAGTTCCGGGAACAAAATGATGACTGAATTAAAGCCCAGCTGCTTTGTAACCTTTCTCTCAAATCACAGTAAAAACTCTCTGTAAATTGTTTCAGCTGTGTTTGCGCTGAGCCCTGTCCTGGGAACAGCTGACCTCTTCCCAGTGTTTCCCCAGCTTTGCCGCAAGCTGCTCTGAGCCGGCTCCTGGGGGCACCTGGTGGGGTCACAGTGACACTTGGTGGCCCTTCAGAACAGGACCCCTTGCTCCTGGTCACGTTTGCCCCAGCCCTGAATTTAAATGACTGGGAACCTCCTGCCTGTCCTCGGATTTGGAAGGAGAACCTCCACAATGTCACGGGTGTGGTGGGCGGGCCTCTCCCCCGACACAGGTGACACGTGTGTCCTTACAGACGCCTGCTCTGTGCCGGTCTCCGAGATCATCAGCGTGGAGGAAGCAGACGCGCACGGCAAGCACTGTCCCGGCGGGAAATGGCAGAAAATGGAGAAGCCCCACGGCTTTACGGGTAACTCGGGGTCCTGGGCCGGTTCCACACAGATTCTGGGAGAGGGGACCCCTCTGTGGCTCATCAGACTTGTCTGTATAGAAGCGCCCTGCTCTCGGCTCGGGAGAAGGATGCAGCCATCAGCCCCCGCGGACCACCACCCTCGGAACGCGCAGTGGGGCAGCTCTGCAGCCCCAAGTGGTCACCCTCAGCCGAGTGATGTGAGGGCCTGGGCTTGGCTGTCTGTCAGCTCCCCAAGGTCCGCGTTAGTGAACACACTGGGTGCTGACCTCCACCCCCATGGCTTAAAAGGTCTGAGAAATAGACCCTGTCCTGCCTTTGAAAAGGAAAGAACCCAGGTGTATGTTCCACATCAGGCTGCTAGCCCACAGGTCAGTGGTTTGAATCCACTGGTCACTCTGCAGGAGAGAGCTGTGCTGTCCCCTCTTGTTACAATGCACAGCTTTGGAAACCAGTGGAGGGGGGGTGTCCCTGTGGGAACGTCCTCGGGGGTGGGCGGGCTGGGGAGGAAGTCCAGCCTCCGAGGGGCAGAGCTCACTTCCCTGGCCCTGCCAGCTGGCCAGCTGTCCGGCCTCCCTGACACCTGTTTGTCCCCGCACAGTGCACTGTGTGAAGAGGGCACGGCGCCACCGCTGGAAGGGGGCCCAGGTGACCTTCTGGTGTCCCGACGAGCAGCTGTGTCACCTGTGGCTGCAGACGCTGTGCGAGCTACTCCGGAAGCTGAGTACGTATGGGCATCTGCACTGGGGGTCCCCTCTCCCCGGGCGGCCTCCCTGAACTGCGCTGGCTCTCCGCGGGCAGCTTGGCTTTTCTCCCCAAACTAACAAGCAGGCCAAGTCCCTTGGTGGTGCACACTGTTAGCACGCTCAGCAGCGCATCCAAAGGTTGTCTGTCCAAGTCCATGTCGTCAGGGTGCCTCGGAGGACAGGCCTGAGACCCCGGTGCAGCACGTAGTTCACCCTGGGTCATTACAGTCAACATTGGCTCCACAGCGACTGGGCTTCTTGCTTTGTTTATTTCGGGGAGTGTGGTGGAGAGAACATGGGTTTGGGTGTCAGGTCACTGGGCTCCGGTTCCAGCTTTGCCGCTTGGTACCTGGGAGACCCAGGCAGTTCACTTAACCTTCCTGGTTTTGATTTCTTTGACTGGAGAGTGGGGATAGTAGTACTTGCTGTCAGGGGGATGCATCAGGGAGTGGAGGAAGGCACCTTCTCTACCCCCGGCATGTCTGAGATGGTGTAGGAGCCTGGAGGTTTGGTCATCAATTATTGCAAATCAGCCTGCCCCATTTTAAGACGTGGGTGTGAATTCATGTACAAACCACTTCGTGTTTGGTTATGATGTTGGCACACAGTCCTGGCGATCAGAGACAGGCTCCAGCCGTCGTGTGTTTAGTTACAAGGACCAGGGCAAGCCGGTGGGTTACAGTGTATCTGAGCAAGGGAGACAGCTCCCCTCCAGGGCAGGGGGCTTGTCAGGGGTGCTCGACCCAAGTGTGCATGTGCGGGAGAAGCTCCCCTCCTCTGGGTGCTGGTGCGGGAGAAGCTCCCCTCCTCTGCAGAGGCAGCACCCCGCTTTGTGATCGGCATCTGGGTGACAGGATGCTGTCTCTGTGTGTCACTGTCCTGTCCTGTGTGTGGGACACAGGCCTCACAGCAGGTCCACATGAAGCCGCTGGAGTTTCCATCCTCTGCTGACCCTGTGTCCACGTCTGGGATCACCCTCAGTTTCTTCTGCCTCCTCTCCTTACACTTCCGCCTCCTCTCCCTCCCCTCCCTCTGCTTGCCTGAGCCTTTGAGTCTTTAAAAGAAGCCTGATTCTGCAGGCAGGATTCTCAAAGTTCTGTCCACACCACAGCCCCTCCTAACAGGAAGTCGTTCTTTTCACACCACAGCCCCTCCTAACAGGAAGTCATTCTTTTTCTTGGTAACTTGTGGGAAAATGCAGACAGCTGTACATGACATGTGGTCTCTTGCCACTTGGTGTCCAGTTACCTCTGACCCACGGTGGCCCCTTGGACAGCACTGAAACACTGCCTGGTCCTTGGCCGTGTTCCCTGTTGCTGGTCTGCTCAAGTCCATGGCTCCCAGCATGGTATCGTCGGCATTCTGCTGTGAGGCACTGCGTTTCCCTCGGCTGCTCTTGGAAGTGGATGCCCAGGCCATTTTTGTCTGTCTTTTGGAAGCTCCACTCACAGCTTGTTGACCACGGTTGATCCTGGTGATATTTGAAATTCCAGCGACGTGGCTCCAGCCAGCACAGCGGCACGCCCCCCCCCCCACACACACACACTGTGGTACAAACGCTCAGCGATGGCAGGAAACCCCGCCTGAGCCTTCACCACCCTCAGGGTCACTGCCATGTCTCATGCAGCCGCTGAGCCCGTCCATCTGTGTGTGTGGAGGTGTCTTCCTCTCCTTTGCCCATCCTCTACCTTTCCAAGCATGATGGCCTTGTCCAGGACTGGCCCCTGCTGATGGCATGTCCAGAATACACGGATGAGGACTCACCTTCAGTGTGTCTGACTGTTTCCCACGAGTTGGTTAGTGTGCTGACTAGTTTTCTCCCCTCACTCTGTTCTCTGTTTTAATGTTTGTTTCACTGAGGAGTGACTGGGGTGCAACACAGATATGGAGAGGTGCCTCAAAACACGGGGGCATAGCTCGAAGAATGCAAACCAGAGGAGCACGCTCCTGGAACAGAATGTGATCAGCCCCCAGGAGCCCCCGCTGCCCCCCACAGTTACTGACCCACAGAGGGGGGCTACTACCCTGATGTCCAACATTTCAACAATCTTTTGTCGTCTTTACAGGTTGAATCATTGTTGTTGTTGTTATGTGCTGTTGAGTTGCCTGTGACTCATAGTGACCCTTTGTACAACAGCCCTAAACGCTGCCCTATCCTGTGCCAGTCTTACTGTCTCTGACACACCTACCCCCATTACCCCAGTCACTGAATCAATCCATCTCATCTAGGGTCTTCCCCTCCTGCGCTGTCCCTCCACCCACCCAAGCATGACATCCCTCTCCAAGGACTGGTCTTTCCTTGCAGCATGTCCAAAGTATATCAGACAAAGCCTCAGAATCCTTGCCTCCAAGGAGCAGGGTGGTTTAACCCTCTTCAGGACAAACCTGTTCATTCTCTTAGCAGCCCATGATATATTCAGGACTCTTCTCCAACACCACAGCTCAAAGGCATCAACTCTCCTTCTGTCATCCATCATTGTCCAGCTTTCTGATGCATAGCAAGTGATGACAAATGCCGTGGTCTGGATCAGGCACACCTTAGTCTCCACACTTATATCATTGCTCTTCAGTACTTTGGAAAGGTCTCTAACAGCAGACTTTCCCAATGCAAAATGGCTTTTCATTTCCTGGCTACTGTTACCAAGAATGTTGACTGTGGAGCCAAGTAAACTAAAATTTAACAATCTCAATCTCTTCACCATCCATCCTGATGCTGCCAATTGGCCTAGTGGTGAGAATCTTTGTTTTTTTGAAACATATTGAAGCCATATTGAAGGCTGCAGTACTTGACCTTCTGCAGCAAGCGCTTCAGGTCCTCCTCAGTTTCAGCATCCAGGGTTGTATCATCTGCATAATGCAGATTTTTGATGAGTCTTCCTCCAATCCTGATGCCACATTTTTCCTTATTCCTATCCTCCCAGATAATCTGTTCTGCATATAGATTGAAAAGTATGGAGATAGGACACGTCCCTGGCGTACACCCTTCCCAATTTTGAACCATGCATTGTTTCCTTGCTCTGTTGTGATGACTGTCTCCTGGTCCAAGTATAGGTTTCACATAAGCATGATCAAGTGTTCTGGGATTCCCATTCTTCTCAGAGTTAGCCAGTTTGTTGTGATTCACACAAATGCCTTTACATAGTCAATGAAACACAGATACACATTTTTCTGGTATGGCCTGCTTTCAGCCAAGATCCATCTAACATTAGCTGCGATATCCCTAGTACCATGGCCTCTTCTAAACCCATCCTGGACTTCTGGCAGTTCTCTGCTGATGTGCTGTTCCAGTTGTTTTTGGATAGTCTTCAGCAGAATCTTGGTCGCCTATGATATTAATGATATCATTCAATAGTTTCCACACTCTGTCAGATCACCTTTCTTCAGAATGGGAACAAATATAGATCCCTTACAGCCAGTTGGCCAAGTGGTGGTTCTCCAGATTTCTTGGCATAACTGGGTGAGCACATCTAGGGCAGCATCTGCTTGTTGAAATACATCAATTGGTCAATCCTGGGGCCTTGTTTTTTGCCAATTCTTTCAGAGCAACTTGAACTTTCTCCGTCACCACAGGCTCTTGCTCATACATTGTTTCATGAAATTCTTTGTGTCCACCAATTCCTTTTGGTACAATGACTCTGTATACTCTATCTTCTTTTAATACTTCCTGGATCATTTAATATTCTGCTCAAAGCATCCTTAAATATTGCAACTTGAGACTTGAATTTGTTCTTCAGTTCCTTGAGCTTAAGAAATGTTGAGGCTCTCGGCTGGATGCTGCTGTGTCCGCACGCGGGAGCCCGGGTTCGAACTCGTAATAAACTTTGTTAATTCGGCTAAAAAAAAAAAAAAGAAATGTTGAGCGAGTTTCGGCCACTTTGATTTTCTGACTCCAGCTCTCTGCGTGGTTCATTCTCATGCTTTGTCTTCCTGCACTGCCCTTGGAAATCTTCTATTCAGCTCCTTAGTATCTTGATTTTCCCCCTCTGGTAGTATCATCTTATGAATTATTTTGTGCCTGGCTTCCCCCCACCTTTTGATCAGTATTCTGTTTGTGACATTTATCTCGTGTGGACCCGGCGTGGTGTGGGGCTGGTGGGTGTTCATGCTCTTGGCTGGATGGGATTCCAAAGCCCATGGTGTCAACTTGTAGCTGTTGATGGTGTCAGGAGCCATGGAGAGGGCTTCACTCCTAGTGGACAGCTGACGGGATGCTTGCCTGGTCCTGCAAATCTTCACAGGGTCACAGTGCCTGAGTCCTTCGTGGTCACGCTGGCGGGTCTTCTCCCTTCACATTTTTCTCTGCTTCGCTGACCCATCCTAGTCCGATGTCCTTTCTCAGTGATTGAGATGAAGTTTCACCATCCGTGGCTCTGAGGAACTCTCTGACTGCACTCCTTCCAAGGCAGCTTTGTTTGTCATTTTGACTGTCCGTTCTGTACCCTGCCAGTACCCGGTTCACATGGAGCAGTTATTCTGTGGTCTTCCTTATTCGTTGGTGTGGGTTTCTGACCATTGAGTCTTCTGTTTTACTGTCCACTATCCGTTTGCTTGCACCTGGATCCATTGGGGTGGATTCACGACTGGGTTATTCGCCTGTTTGACTGGTGACCCCCCTTTTGCCCGCATCTGGATTCACTGGTGTGGATCCACGACTGTTGATGCTTCCTTTTGACAACCGTCTGGCCCGGGGCTGTTGTGAGCAGCCCTGCTGTGAAGCTCCCAGCACGTGCTGTGTGGGGAGCGCAGGCTGGGGGTGTCCTTGGAGTGGCACTGCTGGGCGTAGAACAGGCACTTGCTCAACGTCAGGACACGCTGCCAGGTGGCCTTCCAAAGTGGTAGGACCAGTCGGCATTTCCACCAGCAGGAGACCAGAACATGGGTGCACCCCATCTAACCACTGCTCTCACAATGCAAGCCGCTGGGGTGGGTGCTTTAATTGTGTCTCCCTGGGGGTGGCTGAGGTGGAGAAATATATGCT